CCTTTCCTTCCTTCCTTTCCTTCCTTTCTTCTTTTTTTCTCTTGTGTCTCAACAGGTTTTTTCTAAACTTTTCTTGGGAACTTGAGGTAAAGGTTCAAGCAGTGCACTGTATAGTCCTCATCCAGAAGATCAGTGGGAGATAATGATGATGCTTCCAGTAAGGGAGCTGGAAGAGGAACGCTCTCAATTTAAAATGTTACCAGTTTCTGGTAGTGCTAAAGTCAATCAATTGTATACATGGACCCTTTAAAATTACTCTCTGCTGCTCTCATACATCAGCTGAGCAGAAATATTCATGTGATTCTTAAACATGCATTTATCGTGCTGATTACAATCTTAATCACTTTTTTTACTTCTAAAGAAGCTTGAAAACACAAGATTCCTTATATTCCTATGCATGCCAGAGCTTCTCTGGGGGATTCCAGTTGCCCACAATGAACTGCCCACGACTGTATCAATGACTTGATTTTTTTGGGTAGGATTTGGGTTACACTGTGCTAGCCCTCAGAGTTTTGCACTTGCAGAAGCAGGGCTCCAGTTGTCCAGTGTGCTACACGTGCTTTGGCCATCATCCCTGCATCTCCATCAATCCTTTTAAATTGCCTGCTCTCAACACCTTGGCATGTGCATGGCAGCAGGACTTAACAGGGGGCCCCTGTAGAGGAGATACAGGGTTCACGTGGCGTGATCTTGGTCTAACCTGGGGGAAGAGATGTTCCCTTGTCCTGCAGAATTCCTCTAGTTTTAAGTTTGCATCAGAGAACTTGCCTATCTGGAAAGGACTGTACCCATCTGCAGTTGCTCGTGTCTTGAGCTGCTGCAAGCAGCACCAGGCCGGTGGGGGTGGAAGGGAAGCACGTCAGACAAGCAGGCACTGAAATGAATAATTTCTTTGTCTCTTGTGTCGGTATGCTCCTGTCTTTTGAGTGCGGTGCTCTTCTGCTTAGTCTCACACAAGAGCAGTTCCTGCAATCAGTAAACAAAATACAGTGTTGTGGTTTAGGCCCAGTGCGTAACTGAGCACCCTGATACCCCAAAAAAGGGTTTGTCAAAATAAGGACTGGGAGGGCTTCTCACCACTTAAAAAGGTCACGGGCAAAGACAGACTCATCATAAGGATTAAAAATAAAACAATTTTAATTTGTTACCAACATCGGAGTAGAACAACGGGAGATACAACCAGATCTTAAAGTCAAAACACCTTCTCCCCACCCCGCCCTTCTTCCCGGGCTCAGCTTCTGTTCCCAGATTCTTCACCTCCCCCTTTCTTTTGCCTTGAGGCGCAGGGGGATGGCAGGGAGTTGCAGTCGGTTTGTGCCACTGCTCCTCAGGGGTAGGGAGGACTCGGCCCAGTCTCTCTCTCTGCTTCCACGTGGCCCCCTTTCTGCAGGAGAGAAAGTCCTCAAAAGTCCAATATGGGTGTGCCCACAGCTGCAGTTTCCCTCACACAAAACTGCTTCAGCCCAAGTCCACAAAGCTCCAATCTGGGTCTGCCCACGGTCACAGTTCCCTCACACACAAACTGCTCCAGCACACACTGCCCAGAGTCACGGCTTCTTCAAGGGCAGCCACTGCTCAGGTGGCCCTGCCCCACCAGTGACCTCTGTGGGCTGCAGGCCAGTCGAACTGACTCTCGCCATGGGTTATAAAAGGGGAACCTGGGCTCTGTGTCCTCCTCCTCCTCCTCCTCCCCCCTCTCCTTTCTTTTCCCTCAACCGACCTTGGTGTTCTTCAAAGTTGTTCTCCTCAGGCCCCACTCCTTTCTCCGCTGCAGGTCTCCTGTGATGGTTCTGAAGAGTTCCCAGCTCTCTCTTGCAAGGAAAATGACTTTTGCCATGTGACCTTCAGGCTTCTTATGAGACTCTGGTTGTTGGAGATACAGGTCCTCCCAGCCAGCTGCCCTCTCTACCTGTACGCACCACAGTGTGCTGTTCACCTTGCCAGCACCCAGCAGAGAATCTGAGCTCTCACATCTCACCTCCTTGTTCTGACTCCAGGAGACCGCAAGTTAACCAGCCTGTTGTCCTCTCTTTGTGCAGTCGTCTTTTCTCTGGTATGGCTGATGCGAAGTATCCAGACACGATTGCCTTGACCTTTGACCCTACCAACCAGTGGCTTTCCTGTGTGTACAACGACCACAGCCTGTATGTGTGGGATGTCAAAGACCCGAAGAAAGTGGGCAAGGTGTACTCCGCTTTGTACCACTCTTCCTGCGTGTGGAACATTGAGGTACGTTGCTTGAAGAAACAGGTGTTGGATTATGAGTAGCAGCTGAGGAAGTTGTCTGAAGAGCTGCCAAATTTGAATGCAAACACTTACTGCAGAGAGAAAGAATTGTCTCAGATTTCCTCCTGTGGTTAGTGTGGTTGCTACAGGGCTTGAGTTTGATCTGGGAGCAGTTCTTTGGCTGCACTGCAGTGGCTGACCAAATGTGTTAAGTGCAGTGTATTAGTGGAAAAAAAAATCTCACCATTAAAGGATGAGAGGTAAGAGAAGGAGCAGAGCTGAACAAAGCTGAATGCAGCGGCTGCTTTCACAAAATGTATGAGAGTTTACTGCTGACCTCAAAAAAGATTGCTTGAGGTCTGTGGTGGGCAAGTGCTCCAAAGTCAAAGTAATGAAACAAAGTGGTAAGATCTCACCTCTGATCATTCTAACCTATTTACCAGGACATCCTGAATTAGGCTCTCAAGTGGCTATCATCTTCCAGTCTGTGTAGTTGGATTTCCCTCAGGGGAACATGGGGAAGGCAAGGAGGTATAGGAAACAATGTAGTTGTTAGTATGTTGAAATATGTCCAACAGTGGTCAGGAAAGGAGGAAGTGGAAACAGCTTGAGGATTCTTTTTGTTGTTAATTATTAATTGCATCTCAACCTTTCATTCTGGATTATAAACTAACAGTAGTCGTTGGAAGTTGCAAACAGCAGTGCAAGGTTGTTCTTGCATGGTTGTTGTTGTGTGGTCTTTGAGGTGCTCTCTTTGAAACAAAGGATGCTGCTTTGTTGCACGCTTCTTAATGAAATGGTCTACATTCAGGGAAGCTCAGTGAGCATTGGTTTGAAGTGAATGTGAAGCTCTGGTCTCCAAGCACATTTTCATTTGGAGAACTGGCTGGCTTTTGCCTTTACAAAGCAGAGAGGACGGCCCTTTTACCTCATTTTGTCTTGCAACTTACTACCAGTATCTAGGATGCCAGGCAATCTCATTCAAGGGTTGATTTTACGTGCCCTTAGATGTATCCAGAGGTGAAAGACAGCAATCAGTCATGCCTGCCCCCTGGTTCCTTCATCACCTGCTCCTCTGACAACACCATTCGTCTGTGGAACACGGAGAGCTCCAACATTCATGGCACAGCCCTGCACCGCAACATCCTCAGCCACGTAAGATCCCAGGTTTTGATCACCTCCTTGCCCTTGGGGTTGCTCCTCCTAGTGCACAGGTATTCCCAAGTTAAGGCCCAAACTTCTTTGGATCTCTAAGTCAACACAAGCTTCTCTGTAAACAGAGCACAAGTCTGGTAAAATGTACGAGTCTGAAGAAAGATGAAGGGAGTATCAGGTGTAGACAGTTTGTCTGAAATGGCCTCAGAACGATTGCTTTTTTCATAAACCACTCAAGGACTCTTCCAAAATGGCTCTTGCCTTATGCTTCAGGAGAGCTGTTTCTCTTTCTCCATCTCTGTAATGTGTAACCGCTTTAAGGTTTGTTTGGAAAAGGTGCATTAAATGAGGCAAAGGTTTGGGAGAACTGAATGAGGAACAGTTTACACTCACTTCACCTGTGTACGAGGGAGGATACTCATACAGAACAATAATTACTTACAGACGTTTGCTTCCATTCTCAGCTGTGTTGTAAGATCCATGGGCACAGCAGCCCTGACCTGCCTGTTCTCAGCAGATTGCTCATGGTGGAAAAAGGTCCTGTTCTCAGAAGGCATGGGCTGAGTTGGATGATCCCT